TAGATCACCCGTATAAGTAATAGTTGCAAATTATGGTATCTATTTTTATAAATATAACATAATAAAAACAGTATTTATGTTCTATAAAATTTAACAAAGAACTTAGTTGTTTTTCTAATTTTTTAGTGACCCCTCGATATTTGATAGAGATACTTTCCTCTGTGATGCTCATATCACGTCGTTTTTTAATCACTAAAAATAATCTATTTACTTATGTAAGATTAAGTTTTAAACAAATTTACGGATGGTTTCTTTTGTTTTCAACTAATCGAATTGCGTGACCTTATTTTACTTCCAGATCGCTCGATATTCGTCTTCCACACCATTTAATACTGGCATACTTTTTGTACCGCATCAGCATGCATGGATCGTGGAGCGATTTGGGAAGTTTAATCGAGTACTTGAACCGGTAATCACTTTTATATACTTGACAATTATCAGGGTTTAAATTTTTGTGTTCCCATAATTGACCGAATTTCATACGTACAAGTCCTCAAAGAGCTCGCGATCGATATTCCAGATCAATCTGCCATTACTGCTGGTTTGTGGTATTTCTTTTAAGTTTTGTTTACTTTTATATACCATTTAATAATTTCGATTTCTATATTCAATATATACACTATCTAATTTCCATCCATATGTCTATATTCTGACAGCTCTGCCAATATAAAATTTCTTTTCTTAAAGTCAACCTAGGCTTATTGATTTGTTACACAGCTTTTATTTTTTTTGATAGATAACGTTGTGCTTCAGCTTAATGGCATTTTGTTCCTGCGAGTCAAAGATCCTTATCTTGCCTCGTACGGAGTTGAGGACGCTGAATTCGCAATCACGCAAGTAAATACCATGGTTTTTTTGTCAAGCCTCTTTTACTCAGGCAAAATCTCACTTATATCTTAGTGAGCTCATTTAACTTTACTGCTGAACAGGGTCTCTAAAAGGGCTTCTATTTGTGTGGGAATAGATTGATTTTCTGATAGGTTCAACTTTTCTAGGGATGATTCATCAAACGAATATGGCCTGAAAAAATCTCAAGCCTTCCCCTATCATTTCAAACACCTTACTACATATTTCTCCAAAATTGCTAATGAAAGAAGGAATATTTTTTTTTGCCTCTTAGAGTTTGCTTCAATATAACTAATTTTGTTTCATCATTTCCATTTTCTACCTAAGTAGTTTTGATCCGTACGAAAAAAACGTGTTTCAAGGAATCTTTTGGTTTACAAGTGTTAAGTTTACTTCGATTAAGACAAAAAATGTGTCGAAGA